GGCTCTGTGTTTTCAAGCAACGAAAAGGTTAATTTGCAAAAAAAGTTTGTTTTAAGCGGTCAAGAAATTTCCAAGTGAAAAAAAGGTTTGATAGGCCTAGAAAACTTTTACCCGGATCGGTTGGTTCTTCATTTAACGTGCATATGTGCTGATATGTAGTGAAGAATTTAATGTACTGGATGTGCTCATTGTGTTCTGTGAAGAATAAACTCTCAAGGGTACTGAGTCAAAAAGCAATCTTATAAATTATAGATGAGCGATTTCCCGAAACTATACCTGGCAACTTTATGAGCACATCCATGTTGTGAATCGCAATTTGTTCGACTTGCTTGCTGTTGCTGCTTATCTCCTAAATTTTGAATAGGACTCGACTACGACAACACTGTAGTTAATTGCTTGTTTTCACGCGACGATTTTGATTATTCTGTCATTCACACATGGGGCAACGATAAAAGCAAACCTGTGATTGGAGGAGTCACAGTACCGCAAAGGTGGCGCGAACACCTTCCAGAAAATGGGAGCTGAATTATAATTGGCTAATCACGGGAAAGGAATGTAGTTCGGTTTTCAGCAGCCGTTAGTGGGGAGGAGCGTTGCGTGACGACACTAAAAACGGCTGTGTAGCAGACTACCTGGGAAGTGGAATTTGCCGAAATTTGAGTGCATTTTTGTTGTAAGTGCCAAAAGCAAGCCTGCTGTTTTGGAATTAAAGCATTCCTCACCAGTTGCTGCTATGGCAAAGTCATTACCTATTGAAGAGAGGCTAACTGTAAGGTCACGTTTCACCCAATCACAAGCAATAATGAGTCTTTTTTAGCCTGCCAACAGTAATTTAATCTTCAGATGTTTTCCTTAGGACGTTCAGCCAATAACAAAAGGTTTTCTAATTTGAAAACACAATAACCAATCAGAAAACACCTTCCATATTCACACTAGTAGGTGATGTCACCAGACAACATTTGAATGCCTGGAATTCAGACGTCTATATTCACCATGTCTTCCACAGGTTAAGGGGTGGAGACAGCAGACATTTCAGAGTAAAAATGAAGGGGAATGTGGAATGAGGACTCCCCTACCTCCAGAGCCTCTTCAAAGCTTAAAAGAACTAATGCATAACTTATTTGAAGGTTTTCGCTCTCAGCATTTTGTCCACAGACTCAAACAGTAGATAATGTTATAAATAATAATTATTATTGGAATATGATTGTCTAGGTGGTTATAGTCCTTTATAGGAATGTTGTTGACAGTTAGTGATGTTTTGTCATACTGTGTAGTAGTCATCATCAAATTCAAAGTGAATTGTATCTCGTCAGTCGACAGCATTAAACTCTGGCTATTGACCTGATTGGTCAAATAATAGCTCAGCCAATAATTGCAGGTGTCCCCAGTCCCCTCTCTCCCAAGCATTTGTCTAGTGTTGTGTTCCCATGGTGGAGCATTTGTTGGCAAAGGTCTGCCCTGGGGTGGGGAATTTGTCATTTATGAATTTATTTTCCACATACTTTAAAAAAGAATGCTATGGCACATAAAAAATATAGGCACAAGCTTAATAAAATAAGCTTATTGCTTTTACCAAAAACTACTAGAACATTAAGATATTTTGAAGAGAAGAGCACCCTGTTGTCTAGAGGGCTTTTGGAAGTACTGGAAACAATTTTGAAGAGTGCATGGCAAATTTACTACCTTTGAAACAAAGGAGAAAATTGACTGAGTTAACTTTTGCAGAGTCTTCTGGTCCTGTTACTAGCAACAGGGGAAAAGTTGGCCATTGGCTATTAGCGGTGCATACTCAGTAACAATCCTAGGAACAATTACGTGACACAAATTGGCTCCTGTCCCCTTGTCGTTTCTTAAGTGGCAAAATACCAACTGTATATATAATAATAATAAGTCTGGTTTATTAATAAAATCTTTGCGCTTAGAAATAAGCGAATTGCGAAATTATTTTACAAAGATATAGATATTAATTTTAAAAAAATAATTTAAAAAAATTTCAATTTAAACTAATTACGTCGTGTTCAAAATGGACTGGGCCTTACAATTATGAGAAGATGTAATACAATAAATTAGATAAAAACTAGAAACTAGACATATATATTAAGTTATACATTGAATTCCCATTAGTTCGTAAATTACATGCCATGAGCATAAAGGCACATCGCCGGAAAAAAGCTTCGTTTAAAGCGTTCAGTTTTGCAACTTATAAGGGATGGTCTGTCTTTGTTGCGAAAGGAGCGGCTTTGCACCTGCGACCGAGTTGGTGGAACAAGATGGCAAAGACGGGACTCGGGCTCTTTTATCTTTGTAAATAATTTGCTACACAACTCCATTTTTTTTTGTGTGAAGTGATACACACCCGGTAGTAGCTAAAGCCTCTTGGTAGCAGTACAGGAAAGATGATGCACAGCGCCCGTTTCTGCACTCGCTCGATGCTATCTGATAGTTTGATGGGGATGGCATTATGCCACACTGGACAACAGTATTCAACGACAGACCTAGTGAGCGCAAAATAAACCTTAAGTAGGTCGGCAGTTGGTACTCCGCCACGTTTGAGGACACGTAGAATATGCAGCCTTTTTGACGCCTTAGCGACAACCTCATTAATGTTCAAATCCCATTTGAGATTACTTTGGATTTTAACGCCCAATACTTTACGTACATCGACTGACTCAAGGGCCTTAGTGTCTACGGCCAAGGCTGACAGGGGATGGTCCACGACTCTACGAAAACGCAAAGTCATCTCCTTGCACTTTTTGGGGTTAAGAACCATATTGTTTGTAGCAGCCTTAGTGCTGACGTTGTCAAGTTCAGATTGCAAAATTGACACCCCGCGTGCCGCTGCAAATTCTGATATAGTGATGTCACCTACATACTTCCAGTATTAGCAAAGCGGGGAGGCCAATTTCAAATCGTTAATCATTATTGCAAAAAGTATAGGACCCAGTTTGGTCCCTTGAGGGACACCGGCACGTACTGGGAGCTAATTGGAGACTGTCTGCCCTAGTTTGACACATTACCACCGATCGGTTAGGAAACTGTAGATCCATGGTATGATACAGCGACACACCCCTAAGTCAATTAGCTTCCTAATAACGATGGTATGGTCAATCCTGTCAAACGCCTTGCTAAAGTTAAGGAAGCAGGCTCTCAAATAACAACCAGGATTATCAAGCTCAGAAAGCCAGTTGTGGATGAGATCGAGTAGGCAGTAAGTGGTGGAAGATCCTTTAAGACTACCAAACTGGCGACTATCAATATGCTCGCCAACATCCTCGATCATCCAAGAGACCACAAAATCTTCCAAGACCTTAGACAAAATAGGAGTTAAAGAGATAGGTCGGGTGTCGCTCTCACATAGAGGTTGTTTTACCTTCGGAATGGGTATGATGTTAGAACATTTCCACAGAATGGGGACTTCATCAGTAGAAAGGGATGTGTTAAAGATCTTTGTGACAGGCTCAGTCAGTTCGTAGGCAAATTCTTGTCTTTCAAATATTTCCTCACCACGGTAAAATTTTGCATCATCAAGACATTCCTCTTCAGGTTCTGTTCAAATCCGGAACACCTTGAAATACAAATAATAATATTATTCTATATTGTAGTTGGTTTTTGTTACTACATTATTTTACATTACGAACGTTGTTGTCAATTCTGCAGCCTTGCTAGTGAAGTTAATAGTGTTTTGTTCATTTGCACACTGCATGAATTTGTGATACCTCTTGAAAAGAAACATACTATTTCCCTTATCCCCAGGGTGGGGCATTTGCACACATTTATTCCCCCCTCAGAGGGTTTAATTTAAGAATCTTCAGGGGCGTGGACAGGCTTATAGGCATGCTTGGAACTCATGGATCTATAAGTCATGTTCTTATTGGTGGTCTGTTTGTGGGCTGTGATGTTATTGGCTTTGAAGTGTCTAAAATAATGTGAATAAGGTGTATTAATCTGTCATTTACCAAAAAAAACTACTCTCTCAGAATGTATTGTTATTTTGTTGTAAGCCCATTGGTCATTGTCCAGGTGGCCCCAGTTACAGCAGTTGCACTTTAAAGCATTTGAATGTTTAGAACTCACTATTAATCTCATTTTCGCATGTTTGCTAGTGATGAAGTCATATGTCTTGCTGAGCTTAAAATCCTGTTTAACACTCTGGTGTTTATGTCATTGCTAGTTTGAACCAGCCACAAGTAATATTTGGTACCAAGAAACAAGGAAGAGGAAAGAAAATAAATAGAAAATTGAATATAACAGTCAGTACAAAGCTGCATATTCCTTGAGTCACATCCTCTTTCATTGGATTCTGTGACTCATGGAGATTAAGAAGAAAAATAGAATCTAAAAATTAAACTGCAACACATAATATGATGACAAATGAGGGAATCTTTAAACTGCAACTAACTCTCTAGAAATTACTTGCACGAAAAAGTTTTTGTTTTAGTGTCTTTTCTATATATATTTCTTATAACTTTTCAAAGTTTCAAATTTTGGCTGTTCTTTCAGCCATTAGTGAGCACTGCAAAGAATAGGTCCAAGTTTTGTTATGTTGCCACGGAAGGAGATCAATTATTTCATGTGAACAATGTAAATGTAAGATGGGATTAGAGGCTGGAATCATGCTTGATGCCAGCATTGTTTTCAGTTGTAGCAACACTGCCAATCCGCAAACAGGTATCAGGCTGCATACAATTCCATACAATTTATCCACTTTTTTTCTTCTCTTCTTTTTCTTCCCGGCCATATGCATATGAGTACTCTGCAAATGGTCTCTACAGCATGGTACCCAGATCTCACAAATGCTCTGTAATGGGTCATAAGAGACCTAACTTTAATCAGTCATAGAAACGCGGAGATTTTATCTGTCACAATAATTTTTTTACCCAAGTCACCAGGACAATATTAGAAGATTTTGTTTTGCTAAAAACATTTTGGCGGGCTAGTTGCACTTTAACTATGAGACCTTTCTTAATGCAGACAAGTTATCATCAGAAGGAAACAACAAAATGGACAAGAAAACTGCACCAGAAAAGGTAGAGAAGAGTCAGTCCAGTCTGTTGAACAGGTTCTTCCAGTTTATGACATCACCAACAGATCCATCAAATCTTGCTGTGATAAGAATCTTATTTGGTAAGCTTGTTTTGACGAATAACGTATGATTTTTACCAAAGTAAATGTTATTTATTAACTAGCAGACTTGTACGGTTCAGTTGCTATTAGTGAGTTTACGCAACAGGACAGCAAAAAGAAGAGGATGGCAAAACGTTTGAGTGTGACAAATGTGACAGGGCCATTGCTGGTACTTGCGTGTTTTGTCAGGAATTCACTTAACTTTGATGTTTATTGCTCTTCTACAAAAAGATCTGTTTAAGGTGTTTCGATACAGTTTTTCAGAGGCCATACCGATATTTTTCAATCGCCTTAAAAGTGGTTTTTTCCTTGTCCAATCGCCATAAAATGTTCACCAGTAATTGGCCATGGATTGAAATTTGTTAAAATGTAGTTTTAAGTAAAATCGATATTACTATGACAACAATAAACAAAAAACTTTGAAATTGATAAAAGCCGAATTTTGTGTGATCTAGACCTGCTACTGAAAATCCAACACTAGGAACTTAAAGTTTGGTGTTTAGCAAACAATATCCGTAAGAAGTAAAAAATTCTGTATGTTTGAATTCGACTAAAACGAAAATATTTTTCAAACCTTAAATTTTCAATAGTCGTGATAGATTATTTAATAAAAACGTTACAAATGACTCAAATTATTCTTAAGTAGCGAGAGAATGATGTTTAATATAATATTTTGAAGCTAGGAAATTTTTGTGTACTTTCGTTCTTGCGATCTTGAAAACTAACCCGTTTTCTCACCACCTGTATAAGTGCAACTTCATTCAGAATTTGGACTTTTAGCGCTTTCTTGTATATCTCCGAAACGACTCGAACGAATTTTTTTAAAATCTCTTCACATAATCTTCATAATGTATATAAAAATGTCTGAAACTTTCATTAAGATTGATGCACTGCAACACCTTGAAATTTCAAGACAAACCTATCCTACGAACTGGTCAAAAATCTGCGTTACAACATTCACTGTTTTGACGTTATGCTAATTTTTCCAAAATAATGCGCACTCTACATACCTCCAGGACTAGTAGATTTTAGTTTGAATTTATCGCATCTTTTGAAGGTAAAAAATGACAATACTCACACTGAAATGTACTAGTCATAGATATATGTATTGTCCGTATTCATTTGGATAAATTCACCCCCAAAATCAGATAATGATAACCACTTTGGAAAACTCTGATATAAATATGTAACATTTACATTGTGTTTGAAAAGACATTAACAGCAAAACTGTTCTCTACTGCATATAACAACAACCTAAACTGTATGACTTGTGATTAATGTTTGCTATTGTACCTCAGTAGAGTTAACACTTTGGTTCAGGTAACCATAATCTACTTCACCTCAACAGTCAGGGGCACCCAACATCAATTTTTGGAAAATATCTCTTCAGAAGACGATTTGAGATCTAGAATTTTCGGAACATTTGTTGTAAAATTTCTTGCTTGCTTGCCTCTCCCAGGATTTTTGAACATCTAAAAAATGGTATAATTGCCCATTTTTAACAGATTTTTACCCTAAAAAGGTCACATAGAATTTTTGGGAGCCTTTTTTCCGGCTGAAATTTTCGACAAGGTAAGTTTTGATCCCTATAATTTTCGAATCATTAGGCTTTCAGCTAGTAAATCCGAACAGATGAAAAATTTTGGGGGGATAAAAATATGCCTATATCTACCATTTAAATACTAAAATACGTTCAACAATACTATGTTTAAGTGGTTTTAATTATTCTCGTTGGGTGCCCCTGAACAGTGCTACCATCCTTAGAATAGATTAGAAGTCACTGTTTAGTGTATAAGGAATTACCGGTATTAAAAACTAAATAATTGGATAATGATTGATGTAGCCATCATGGTAGATAAGCCATTATACCATGCTGTCCAAATATTGGTAACTGTATGCATCTGCTTATAATTAAAAACAAGCTAAAAATCAGTTGTTTTTACAAATAAAGTAGCGTAAAATTCCGAAAATAAGCCCCTCCATGTATAAGCTCCTCCAAATGTAAACCCCCCAAAATCGTAACGCAAAAAACCCTCCGTTAAATCGCCCCTCCGAATATAAGCCCCGCTGGGGCTTGTAATTGGAATTTGCCCTCGAATACAAAGTAAAACAAAGCAAAAAATGGTAAATCTCCTTCCAACTACAAGCTAGTTTGATCGATTTTGAAATGCAAATCTCCCTCCGTACATAAGCCCCTCCGAATATAAGCCCCTCAAAAAGGGCGTTTGAAAAATATAAGCCCCAGGGCTTATTTTCGGAATTTTACGATATTATATTCCACTCTCGCTTGTTGG